ATAAGTACATATTTAAAAGTTTCTGTGCGATAAAAATTAGAGGAAATAATTTTAATGCGTGTGAAATAAAATGTGTAATAATTTATATAATTGGTAATTATAATTGCAATTTTTTCTGTAATCGTAATAAACAAAACGTATAAAAAATATGAATATGTATTTGTCAAAATCAGATTCGTCGTGCGGTGGATTTTCAGATATGTACTTTATCTAATATTTTATCATATGCTACAAATATCATTAATTTTTCTTTTAATAAACATATTACACATATTTGAGACCTCTAAAAAATATGATAATTTCGTATTGTAAATTTGAAGTCTTTTTATAAATCGCATTGTGACACACATTGTCAATTTTAGTCTTTATAATAAACATATTTTAAGAAAAAGTATTTGAATTATGACATAAATATATATTTGTATAAGTTTAAATGTGTAAATGTTGAAAATATAAACTAATTTTACCGATAACCAACGGCCTTGTATATGCACTTGTAAATAATTTAAATAATATTGAAATTTCTTTTTGAATTTTCAAATTTGCATCGCCAATTCCGTGTGAACAACTAATATTTTGTTATCCATTTATATGCGATATAAAATGGTAACAAAAATTAATCAATTTTAAAATATTATTAACACGGTAATTGCCATGTCAGTCATATAATAATAATAGTGTTTTTCCGGGAATTTTGGGAAAACAAAAAATTTTTGATACATTAAGTTTTTTTTTTAATAAATTTTTAACTGAATTATTTAATAAAGTTACCATGAGCCACCTGAAATTTTTCTTTAACAATATTAATAATTTTATGTTAATAGTAATATTTTTTTATATGTTTATAGCCAATAATTTCATATATTTGCTTAAAAGCCTCAATAAAGTCTGTGTATATGCTATAAATATTTTTTAATACAAATAAATTGTAAATTTTAAAATAAAAAAAACACACATTGCTTGGTAAAGTAATGTATTTTTTTAATTTTGTATTTTAAAATATTGCACCTAATTACTTTAAATACCTCGGTGTTTTATAATAAATTAAAAATAAATTTAAAAAATTATAAATATGTTTGTAAGAGATATATTAACAAATCGTGAAATAAATACAAAAAATATAAACTATAAATAAATAAATATAAAAATAATAACGAAAATTTATACAAAGATAAGTTTAACCAAAGCGACGGTTAAATTACAACCAAAGATTCACTCATTTTTATTTTAAAGTTTTGTATAATAGCTTGTAGATATATTTATATATTTTACAAGTATATAGTAAATATTAACTTTTTTAAATATTGTTGATTTTTTTGATATATTTTTTTTTAATTCCTGCTATCAATTTTAAAAATGTTTGCGCTAAAATTTGACCAGACCAGATTGATTTATTTGTCTAATGGTCTAATGCATTAAATTACATGTCGCAAAATTTTATTATTAAATAAAATAATTTCAGTTTCTCACAATATTTCGTGCATTTTTAAAATTAACAATTTTGAGTTAAATTTTATAAATCGGTAAATATGATTAAAAACATTAATACATAACATAATTTTATAATTCTAACTATAATCTACTATATTAAATTAAATATAAACCAAAGCGACTAAATGCTATGTAATGATATTATTTAATCCTGATTTATAAATAATTATGGTGATTAAATAAAGATTTTCGAAGTTGTAACTATCCGACGGCACCGGAATTTTTGTACCTTGATTTGTATCTTCATACATATGAAAACACATTCGAAATAAATGTTTTTATAACTTATGATTGGTATAATGATTTATTTGTTATAAATTATAATAAATACTTATGTTTTGATTAGTTTACTTAAAAAATTTCAAGAAGAAATATCAACGCTTTTCCCCAGGAAAAACTTAACTAACCTTTGTTTTTTTTTCTTATTGTTAACAAAGTAAAATAAATTAAAAATAAAATAATATAAATATAAAATAAAATAAAAAAAAATTAAATTAAATTAAATTTAATTAAAATATTAATAATATTAAAAATTAAATTAAACTAAAGAAGTGAATACATTGTTCTACAAAATTTATTGAAATGACCAAATTGCAGTAAAATGCAAATGGTCAGTTATTTAAAATCAGTGAACTTTTGAGAAATATTAAAGTAACAGTAATAATATAAATAATTAGCAAAAATGAATGAAATTTAAGAAATTAAATGAAAAAATCCACAGTGACTTTAAAAAAATATAAAAAATAATACAAAACAATGCAAATAAATGAAATAGTGTAAATATATTCTTATAATGAAAAAAATGGAAAGTGGAAATTTAAGACAATAATAAAAATATAACTGCGACTTAAAAAAATGTAAAAATTATTCGAAATAATGAAATTAAAAGTAATAGCGCAAATATATTGTTATAATAAAAAAAACTGCAAAGTGAAAATTTAAAACAATAATAAAAATAAAATGATGTGAAATAACTTGAATGCATTAAGTCAAATATGAAAAGTAACGAATATAGAATAATATATCTGTAAAAAAATTAATAAAAAATAATATTAGATAATATTTGATAAAATATAATAATATAATATGTAACTAATAAAACAACTCTGATTCGTTATTTGATAATATGCACAAACTAATTTAATATGTTTTATTTTGATATAAAAATAATGAAAGATTAATTTATTCTTAGCGTATGTTTTAAAAATCACCCCTTCAACTAAATCGGTTTATTGAAAATTTATTTCACCCTTATATGCATACCCCATAATTTTTGCTCAGAACAGAGAGATAGAATTTATCTGCAATTTACTTGTTAATGAGACGATTATGAAATAAAATATTAATTGTTAATAATAAATTAAAAAAATGAAGTATTTAAAAAAATTAAAAATTTGGATATTGTACATGATTTGTTAATTATTTTGGAGCATAAGTTATAATCTGTAATGCTCATAATTCGATTATAGAAATCATCTAAATTATGTATTTAATTCAAATACTCGTATTCAGTAATAGTTACGACTTAAATAAAAATATTAAATACCTTAGCATAAATTAATATTACTTTAATAAAATATTTAAGTTGGTAACTAAAACCTATATAATTCAAATAAGTATTTTTTCTTACATATTAATTATAATTCTTTATTATAAATATTATATATTTCATTATAATTTAGCACAATTTCATAAAAACAATCGTAAACGTTATATAGCACGATTGTATTTTTCCTTCTGTGCATCTCATGTTGTTTCTCTGAATGTATATTTTTAATGAAATGTTTTAATTAATTATAATTCATTTTTGTGTCTACAAAATATGCACAGATTTTTTTCTAAATGTGTAAATTACCTAATTTACGAATTTTTACGGATCATTTAAGTTTTAGTGAGTGAACAAGGTGTATGTACCTTAATTAATACAAAATACCGTTATAATAATATGACGTACTGAAATTTATTTAAATTAAGATATTTCACGGATTTCTATTTGATGATCTTCAAAATGTTGACATATTTTTTGTATTATGTTGTGTAAAATGAATTTTCGAATATATAATGCTGGATACAAAAATCAAGAAAAATTATTTAACGCAATTTCAAAGGGATTTATTCATATTTTAACACATTAATTGCCACAATGATATTGGAAAAAAAATTTTATGGGCCATGGGCCAAATAATTTAGTTGCTAGGAAACTTAATGTACCAAAAAACAATATTTTTCAGCCAAAATTCATAGAAAAACACTATTATTTATGTCATACATATATGACCGACATGGACCTATATTAAAACTAATTTTCTCAATGGTTTATATATGACGTCTCAGCGTCAGACACATATGGTTGACATGGCGATTAACATGTTAATTAATGTTATTTTTTTTTATTTTTCTTCATATAAAATATTGTAGTTAAGATTGATTTTGCCATATTGTAATTAATTACAGTAACTCTCTTTAATATAAGATAATATCCTAATCAAATATTTTGTTGATAAGAGTATTTTTTGAATGTTTGATACTTATATTTTAAAAAGTTTTAATTGATTATTTAAAAAAAGGATCAGGATCAGAGAAATATAAAATTTTGCAAATTTAATTTAAGGTTTTGAAAAACTTCATCATTATATGAAAAATTATGTGTTTATTGAATTTGTCATCAGTTCTGCAGTTTAGAACTATGGTGGTTTAGTTAAAAGCATCTTTTCGATCGACATTTGCAAAATATGAGATAAATTTGCAAATATTATTATTTTTACTATATTTGTAATATTTTGTAAAATGTTCATTGCAAGAATGCTGTAATATTACTTACAAAAAATATGGCTAGAAATCACCGGCTCTGTTTTTTTTTTTTGGCTAGAGCAAAATTACTAATTATGCACGTTACTGGTGTTAATCAATACAATAAATCATCGTCGTGGTCACAATCCACATTATCTCTACGTATCTTTTTTTTTGGGTTTGCTTACTCTGAGCATTTAACCACCTACAACATTTTTTATTTATTTACATTCTAATTTTTTTATATCATTTTCAACCTGTTTATGTACCCTATTCTATATTCTTCTTAATTTTTCTTCTTCTTATTTTCTTCAATTCTTGTTCTTTTTCAAGTTTCTAATTCTATTTAACTTTCAGCTTAATTTAATTTTTTTCTTCATTCTTCTTTCAAGTTCCAATATTTCTCTTCTTACTCCTAATTCAATTCAATTATTCGAATTTTATTATTCCTATTTTTCTTAATTTTTAATCAAATTCTATTTACCAAATACAATTTTTATTTGATTTCAAATTAACTACACATATTTTTTTTATAAATTCTAAGTCATTGACAGGATTTGATCCAAAAGATCCCTGTCGTGTGAATCGAACACGATACCAAAGAGCTATGCTCGCCACAAACGTATCCTGTATCTATATATTATCCTTACTAACGCGATTTTTGTCATATTATTCATTTTTTTATTTTTATGTTTATTAATTTTTCCGCCTTTTTCCAGTACGACGACGGCCTGCACTCGCACAGCGGCAGCGGGGGCTACATGGACGGCGTCCCCGCCTCGGCCTCAATGTACGACCCTCACCGTGTGAGCGGCGGCCCGCTGTCCGGCACGTCGCATCATTCGCCGCACATGGGCCACGGCGGCGGCGGCCTTCCGCCCGGCATGCACGCGCCGCCGGGAGCGGCAGCCTACCATCCCGCCAACCACGCAGGACCCGGCGGCGTTGTCGCCAACCACATCATGGGCGCTGGCGTGCCCGACGTACACAAACGAGATAAAGACGCTATATATGGGTAAGGATTATTTATAGAACACGGGGATTATTTACAAGATTATTTACAATCACTCTCTGACAGCGTATCATTTGTACCGAATCTAATGCCGTTCAGATTGAATTAAACACATAGATTTTTAACCAACTTTCATTTTCAATCAATTTGCCATCCAATGGATAATAGAAACGTTAACAAACGATAATTTGTTTAGGGTGATATAAAGATTCTTACACAAATTTTTAATTTTCACTTGCAACAGTGGTTTCCAACCTTTTCGCACTGCGCTACCTCGTTTATTTAAAAAAAAAAAATAATGCTGAGCCCTCTTAATTTCACTAACTGTCTTATTTCATAAATACTCGACTGATATTATAGTGTATTTTAATATAAAATATTATGCCAAAATATGCATAGATATGGGTCTCCCATGGCGTAACGGTTAAGCGCACTGTCTTGTGTGAACAGGGGCGTGCGTTCAAACACCCGCTCTGGACAACCCGATATCATGCAGTAGCGATGTCCATTTTCACTTGAAAATATCGATCAAAAATATGTTTTCAATTGAAAATAGCCCATTTTTGGGCACTGCGGTGTGAAATGGCAATGGAAAATCTCTCACAATATTCTTTCCTGAACAAAATTGGAGTTTAACTCAGCTCACCGACCTGCCCTAGGGCGGTACTGCGTATTCTACATGAAATAATTATTTATTCATTCATTTTTATATTACTTCAACTTTTTGGTGTATTTTTTTGGAAATAGTATTCTCAAAGCAGTTGTATAGGGTAGGGCGGGGCTAGTTGAGCAAATTTTTACTTAAACGGATGTAGCTCTTCAATGAAAAGTCTCAAGAAATTGCTATCCGACTTAATGGATTTGTTTATCGCTTATGAAAAGTATTAATACTATTTTTTGGTAATAAGTAAAATTTAAAAACTACAGCTTACAAATTATTTTACCATTATATTCAGTATTTTGTTTAAAATCATTATTACTCATAGACTTAGCTTAAATCTTAAAAATAATAATTAATTTCTGGAAGTTAAAGGTTATTGTCTTAGTGACGGAACAATTTTAGCAACTATTCTCAACTAACCCCAACTCGGAATTCCAAAATAAAAGTGAGTTTATAAAAAAAACGTGAGCATTATACCCAGAATCTCTGTGCATATTAAAAGTACAATAATTACATGGAAGAATGACATTTACCTGATTAAAAATAAATAACATTTGACTAAACCAGACAAAAACTCGTGATGAATTACTTTTTTACTTTTTGGTCTCAAAATAAACAAAACGTCCGTGAGCCTCAGTCATTTGTCCAGCGGCCACTAGCGATCGCGGGATGTTTATTTCTTCCAAACCTCTATCTTTCGCCATATAATGCCTAAACGCACGGTGAATAGTTTTCGAGATATTTCGATTGCTCAACTTGCCCCTATGCTCAACTAGCCCCGCTCTACCCTACCCTCCCTCTCCTTGCAACAAGCTTGTGTCTTCCTGAAATATCGCGCCCCACAGGTTGGCAACCACAGCCCTACAATAATCCGACTAATTAAAACGACACTATTTTCCGGTAGATATACACTTAACCGATGTGCCTTATTTCAACACAATCTTTTTACGGATGTGTTTTATTATTTTTACATACAAATTTTTTTCTCGGCACATTTTTATAGATCGTTAGAATCCTATAAAAATGTAGACGCATATATATTTAAAAATAATGTTTCACTGGATATAATCACTGTAATTATGTATGTTTACATCTGACGTGAATGTTAAAAAAGAGCTTTTAAATTAAACGCACCTTTATGTCAAACATACATTTTCGAGGAACAAAATAATATAAAGAATATCTAATGCGTGTAAAAAAATGTTTTAAGCGGGAAAGAAATGTTTAAATTTAATGCATATAATTAATATTTAGCAAGAAAGTTGTAAAGAAACACATAATATATAGTTTTAAATTATATTCTTTCATTCCGACGTGCAAAATAGCTTTCTTTAATTTTTGCTTAAAACCCTTGCGTGTCTTATGAAAAACAAATATTATTTTTGAACACATCCGTTTAAAGTTGACTGATTTAAATCTAAAATGAAAGTAAGGCACGGCACGAATATGCTACAGCAATCATTAAAAAAAATCACGGTAAAAGTTCTTTTTTTTATAAAGTATTTATTCGATAGATTTTTGCACACTGGCAACACGCGGCCCAACAAAATAACCCAACGCACAAAAATCGTGTATATCCTTCCATTTCTACATGTCAGTGTTGTTTTAAATCCTGATAATTTCCATAATGAAATAAAGTTGCATCTGGCTGCGTGTATGTGAGCTTTTTTTATTATTATTCTACCATAACTTTTAAACGGCTGAATGGGTTTCATATGTCATGTTAGGCAACGTAGCGTCATTGAAAATTCAGTATGGCTGACGCATATGCCATATTATAAAAATATCGTCTTTAAAGCTCAGAACCGGCTCAAAATATAGAATTAGGAAACTTACAGTCGTAATAGTAATAGTCGAGTCGGTGGTTATGATCGGTTCTTGATTCTGATCACAGAAACTCAATGACTTATAGGAACATTATTCCAAAATTTATTGGAATATTAATTTATTTAATGTATTAAAAAGTACAGCTATGAATATATTAAAGTTTTAAATTAACAAATTTAATTGTTCAAAATTGAATGCGGTTAGTTTTTGTAACAAAATTTTATTAACAAATTATATTAATTGCATTACTCAAATAAGTTTCATATAATAGACAATTATAGAGAAGGACAATGATAGACATATATATAAAAATGATCATTTTAGTTATTTTAGCATTAAGAAATACAAAAATACATTTTTTTACAAGGAGGCTTTAGATAATTTAAAAATTAAAAATAATAATAGCTACTCAGAAAAACTTAATATACGCCTATATAGGGGAGCTAGGAGCTTTTTGTAACAGGAGTAAGTAATAACAGGCGAATTTTCTAAGAACTTAAACTATATTTAAATATTTTTGTCTCGATTGGACACGTAAATCGTCCTGCATAATGTTGTCATAGCTACTATCCTTCAGGCCGACGCAGTGTACAGAAGTGTGCATGTCCGTCATTTTCTACGTTTTGGTCATAAAATTTTGGTTTGCGTTATTACTATCGACTAATTTTAAATTTTATATTACCTATTTGACCATTTTTATGATTGCATAATTCTTTGAATAGTTAACTTGAGTAATGTAAAAAATTCACACTTGAGGTTAGTTGGAAACAAACCCTTGGGGCTAGTTGTAACATGCAAAAATGATATTGTCTGGTGTGTATACAGATTCAAGTGTCTTCACTTTTATATTATTATCACTAATTATTATTATAGTATTACTCTATATCTTTTATTATAATTTATGTTGATTTATGAAAAAAATACTTAAAAACATGTCAATTTTGACAAGCAAAATATATTATCAGAGACATAGATGTATATTGTATATAATTTTCTGTCGTTACTACTTACCCCGATAGATGTTACAACTAGCCCCTAACACGGGGTAATTTATAACATCACATTTTTCTAAAAATTGATTATTTGTGAAATAATGAACAACAGTTATGAATTTATTTTTACTTGATCCAGTAGAGGAATAGTTACAGCATCCATTCATCTTTTTTCATAGAATTATAGTCAGTGGATCTGATGATATATTAATTTTGATGAAAACTGTTATAATAAGCTCATGGCTCCCCTATATATAAAATAATTTTTATAACCTATTTTTGAAACCAGCTTATTAATTTTATTAAATTATTAAATTCCAATTGAATTCAGTATGAATTGCGAAACAGTTTAATTTTCAGTTTTAGAGTAAAAATGTGGCAAACATTTTCCACTTCGATGACTAAATAAAATCAAATGAAAAATTCTTAATTTTCCCTCAATCTTTCGTATACGAAAAAACGGAATCGCATCAGAAAAAACAGCGCACGGAATACATTATCAGGTATAACGATTTCTTTGCGTTAATTACTTTGATACATGCTGTAATTACGGACTTTGCTAACATTTCTAATTACTCGCCATTAATCCAGCTTTTCGAATTTTCCTTTAATTGTATTTTATTTCACCACCATTCATTGCATAAATTACGGTATAGAATCTTTGGAAAACCAATAACGCGTAACATAAAAATGAAGCAAATTTAATAATATTTAAATTTAATTATAAATATAAATAACTTTTGGAGTTCTTAACTTGAAGACTTCTAAGAACTTTGAAAGGGTTCCGTAGAAACCCCGAGATTCCGTACTTTACTTTGTAAAAATTTCCTCAAAGTAAAACCTGGAAACTCAATATTCAACAGGTTCCGTACCAAAATTTTGAGTACGAAGTTCTATAACTGTTTATTCAAAAATTTTTATAAGCACATTTTGAGTACGAAGTTCTAAAAATTCATACTGAATAGTTTCACAAACACCTTCTAGCTGCAAATTCTACAAAAATCCGATGGAATCCGTAAGAAACGTTCTATCTATGCGGGCATATAATTTGTTGCTTCTTATCTTTGTTGTTTCACTTGATGAATCTAATTATTAATTAGGTACATAATGTGCGACATTTATGGCTAGTTAAAATTGAAATTAATAAGAACATCGTGAATAAAATACATAATTGCTTTTGATAAGCAACTGCTAGTTATATGAGGATGTATATAAATCTCGATGTCAGCGTGCGTGCGATTTCTTTATAAATTATGCAAAGAATGTAATGACTTGATATTAATACTAATTTTGATTAAAAAAAAATGAATGATACAAGTTTTGTTCGTTTGTTTAAACTGTTTATTTGTTGAATAGGGTAGAGCAGGGCTTAAAGGCTCGTGGGTAAAAAGGTCCAACACCATTATTTCAAAAACAAGTAAAGCACAGAATTTTTCAACGATACTATTCTAAAGTAGAGGGCAAGAGATGTGTAGCCAATGATTACCATAATTTTTACGATGTCGCTATCAGAATATAAACGGCCATGTATGAATATGCATAAAAAGTTTTTTTGTTGGTAGTTTTTTTTTGGTTTTGAGCACTTTTATTTAGTTTATGATACCTGAATATAATTATTAAGTATATGTTATTTAATTGCTTTATAAGATACATTGTTATTTTTAAGGTAGATTCAACTTTTTTTTATATAACCTTTATGAAAACTGACATGTAGATGGGGTAAAAAAGACCAACTAAACCCTTACACTGGCACAGGTGTAAACAATAAGAAAATTGTAAATAAAAAGTAAAAAATCGGTTGATCTGTGTTCCCGAAATCGTCGACGAAAATTTGTATCCGCACACACACACATACATTTATTTTTTCTAAGGTATGCCAAAATGTTCAGAAATCTTTGAATCGTAAAGATATATACATATCTTCATTTTTTATTTTTTTGGGATTACTATAACTTGCCTTACGGAAAGTTAATTAAGTTAAAAATAGCAGTTTTACAAGAGATTGATTAAATAAATTCAAACTTTGGTGATGAATATTTCTGACAAAATACTCAGGGTTATATACAGTGTTATCCATGTAAAAAGGTACCTATGACATTTATATTTTGCATTGGTTGAATAATGTTGCTATCTTAAAATCGTTTTAAAATTAAAAATAAGGCATTGGACCGTCTATTTTACCCCGTTATGGGGTAAAAAGGACCAGGTGCCAATTTTTAGAAAAACATTTCTGCAATGATGAGTTGATTATGAGAGTTTTAATGAACATAGTCAGATAGTTAGTATGCGTTACTTGTTACATAATTGGTTTGGTTTTTACAATATAATTCCTCAAAATCAAACTGGATCTTTGTGCCTCGACCTACCCTATGAAACGTTATAATTCATCTCTGCGACCACTTAAAAGTGGCAGCGGCCTTGGCTATCTTTTCTTGGCCGTTAAGGGGTTTTTAAATTACTCTTGTGTGTATCAATATCTGCAACGATACAATCCAAATGGAATATATGGCATTAAAATCGAACAACACCGTCGTATTGGTTCCTCTCGAGTCGTGTCCGCCTGTGTGTTACCCGTGTCCTTGTCCGCGCGCTCGCACACACAGAGGCCGTCGCGGCTGTCACGGTATGATCGACACGCGTCCCACATGATTGTGCCCCTTATGAACCCACTTTATAACTCTATCCAAGCATCCTGAACAACATGGGAACATTAAACACAATAGTACTAAACTTTAACGATTGCTATAAACTAATAATCGCATTCAATAATGCAAAAGCCAATGCGAGCGAATGCAAGCAAAGCTTGCACGGCACTGGACACGCGGGACGGCACCCGAGCCGGAACGATCGGTGCGTGCCCCGCGGGATCTGTACCAATTAGGTCGCGCAATAAAATTATAGAAATATATTAACTGAAGCTATAATTTTGCTAATTGAAAATTAGTTGTTTACCCATTACATAAAATAAGCTCCAGAACAATTCCTGAATGATACAAAGCTTTAGTGGCACGTTTTCGGATAAAATAGAAATTTTGAGGGTCTATCTTCGTGTGAATTGGTAGTAACGAACTGTCAAGAAGCTGTGTATTCACTGTGCGATCAGACATTTTACACATAAAACCTCACTTAACGTATTTGTTATCAAAGAGACATCAGAAAGTTGAACTTACGATAAAATTATTACTTGACAATTGTGCATATGCTTTATATGTAAAACGCCTGATCGCACAATAAATAAATTTCTTTTATCCTTTTAGGGCCGTTCAAATATTTCGTAAGCACTACGGGGGGCGGGGGGTTGTTGATTTGCTTATTTTGGGTTGACATGGGGGGGCAGGGGAGTCTGGATTATGATAACGTCATAGGTAGTATTTTTATTTTTTTACAATTGCAAAATGTTTACATAAGCATGGGGGTAGGGGGTAAGAGCTTTGCTTACTTTTGCTGACAAGGGGGATGGGGGGGTAAATAATTGTAATAAATCTGCTTACGTAATTCTTGAACGATCCCTTTATCACTTTTTGGATTTAACCTTTTTGCTCAATAAATTTGATAAAATTTTCCATTTTTAGTCGCCTATATTATTGTTTTTTGAGACAAAAATAACATAAGTGTCCAATGCAAGTAGAAGTGATCTAATCTTTTTGACAATTCGTGTCTACCAACCATAGATCTTATACTACGTGGACCGCTAGTCCTCATATGTTTTCCATTTTGTAAAGTGTCAAAAGATAGAAGGGGTCTGTGACGTCACCGAGTGAACGAACGTTGCCGACAATCGTGGAACACTCCGGATTAATTAAATGCCACATGTCAAGTGCTTAACCTAAAAGTAAATATTCTATGCTCGATTTGCATAATCATGTGTGGATTATATCACATATTATATTATATATTATACACCATAATAGTTATGTGATTAAAATAATATCTGCAATAGTTTTATGTCAATAATATGGTCGCAACTGTGTGGACTAATAATTATTTTAGGAATAATAATTCGATAATAGTAATATTGCCCCTGTGAAATAAATGTACGTGAAATCGAATCCACCTGTTGAAATCGATTTATGCATATGACATTTAATCTTTCGGGAGTGCTCCACGATTGTCGGCAATGTTCACTCAGTGATGTCATAGTTTCCTTCTATCTTCTGACACTTATTTTGCACTCGACTTGCAGCCCATGTAGTATAAGGATCTATGCTACCAACTCATATGATTATAGATCCGTAACATTGCATTATCATCACATGTTTTTAATTTAACCCAGAATTGGCCCCTTGGTTTAACCTTATTATTCCTCATTGAATTTGACAAAATTTTCAATTTTTTAGTCATAGTTTTTGAGACAAATAACACAAGTATCCAAAGCAAGGAGAAGTGATCTAATCTTTTAATCATTTAAAATAAAAAATAAAATATTTTTATTCAAACGGTATGCAGTTTACAATCTATTTATTATTCGGAACAACGGCTGGCTCATGTTACTGTGAAACCAAGCGGCTCAGAACAGGCTTCTTGCATCTTAAAGACATAATATAAGTATTTAATTAAAACAAATGTTTATAATGGAATATATTCTGAAGAATTTTATTAATAATTAATTTTCTAGTTATTTTGTATAAATTATTTACATTCAAAATTTGTCAAAACTTGTATTTAAAAAAATTGTAATATTAGAAAAAGTGTAATACTGTGCATTGATATATTATTACATATATTAATATAAATTTTTATTTCAGTCATCCCCTGTTCCCGCTTTTGGCTCTGATATTCGAAAAATGTGAATTAGCAACCTGCACGCCGCGCGACCCCGGAGTGGCCGGCGGCGATGTTTGTTCGTCAGAATCATTTAATGAAGATATCGCAGTATTTTCTAAACAGGTAAGAAATTTCATATGATTTAAGTGTCATTCACGTCGAAATTGTTTGACTTTTTTAACAAGTCAGCGTTTTTTTAAACGCGCAACCGTTTTGATCACGAATGTCAAACGATGGCTTGGATAATTGTCACAGAACTTGTGCCTGTGTTGAAGTTGAAAGTTAGTGGAAATGATGTATGTTTGAAAAAATTGACTTTTTTAATAATAATCGTTAGTTGTTGTTGATGTTAAATGAATTATTTTGTCTGATTTTTAAGAGTTTGTGAAATTGTAGTTAATTCAACATTTTTATTGGCGACGGAAAGGTTACCATTGATAAAACTAGATGCGTCCAATTATCGATCGATTCTTGCATAGTCACTGATTCATAATACACAGTTCATGCTTGCAGAAAAAGCAGTTTTAACAAAAAATGTAGAAATTGAATTTCAAAATCTAAAGATTCAACCGTGTTTGAGGGAACTAGGTACAATACAAACCTATGGCAAAGTCGTAAATTTTTCCACAGAATTTAAATTGAATTACAACATAATTCAAATTGAATGTTTGGAATTTGTTCCATAATTAAAAAAAAAAACCGATGAAAAGCGCGATAATAATAAATCAAAAGTGGACTAGTAATATGCTTTAGGAACATTTATATGTGGCATGCTTTGCAGTGGGTAAACCATCCATATAATTTGTGTTAACTGTTCTTTTCACTTATATACTACGTATCTCCACATTTACATCAGTTAGTTATTTTTTATATTAATAATGTTGTAGAAATATTTTTTATTTAGTTTTATTATTACTTTTGCCGGGTCAACTAGTATATATATACATGTGTGTTTATGTACGTGTAATATTATCGCATTAATTCAAATGAATTAATATATTATTGTTAAAACAAATCTGTAATTTAAATGGTTTTGTTGATTTGTGATAGCCCTTAAAAAGCGTTTCAAATTTCGTCTTATTTATTTCACGGGCCATAAATAAATATGACACAGAGTTTTCGATATTACTTATGAGTCTGATATGATATATCGATATTTTATCTGATAAATTTCGGTTCGATTCAATAATACTCTAGCTGGATTGTCACGGTTTTGATATCAAACGATAAACAGAATTAATCAGTAGAGCACTAATCCCGGCTTAATCCGATGTTACATATATTGATTTCTATTTTGTAATCGTACATGTGGAAAGGTTATTTTTTTATTAAAATATTTCCTATGGTTATTAAATACAATTTTTTGTCGACTGAAAAATCTATTGTCTATTTGTTCGCCCGTCACGGACTTCAGAAATCTTTCACAAAAATCTAAATGGGTGACCGTGTTACAAAAGAACAACATTTTTGACGTAGGTACGACCAAACAAAAAAGAATCATTTTTTTTGTTATACATGAATACTTTTTACCTTTCAAATTAACTATTTGAGAACCTGTCACAGTAATTGTAGTTTCTTACGGTCGCAGGATGCTGTAGTTTATGTATGTTATTAGCCATAATCTATATTTATGCGACGAATACTAAAAGCGGTGATTTTTCACACATAAAAAAGTTATTTGTAATAAAATGTACATTCGCAAAGACTCGTAAATAAACAGTCAAGTGAATAATGCTTATAGCCGGGCACGTTGAGTGCCGAGAAGGGAAAATTATGTAGGGAAATGGAATTCACACAACCGCACATCTTGTAATAAGTGACATAATATTTAAATAATAGTTGCAGGTGGTATATGAATTTTACTACTACATAACTTCACAAAAATAATAAATTTTCTCCATGACTTAATAACTAATTTATAAAAAGAAACCAATGAAACACAAGTTCCATAATGATTTTTACGTTGTTAATTATTCAAAACGAAGCCTGTTTGAATCGTCCCAAATTGGCTCGTAAAAACACACGTTTGAATCCGTGATTAAATTGTGATATGAATTCATAATGCCGAGGATTCGGTGAAATTTACATTCGTCCACTAACAGATACTTAAGATTGACATTTTGACTTTAACGGCACTTTAAGGAACAGCGGATGAAACAATGGTTCACTTAAAGAAGAAAAAATAAAAAAATGAATCAACTTTTTGCTGTACACAAATGTGTAACATAAAGTTTTGCTTATGAGACATGTTAAGGTATGCACAAGCCCAATATAAGTATAGAATAGAGCGGGGCTTAAAGGTCCGCCACCGAAATCTCAATAACAAATAAAATTAACAATTTTTTAACAACAATATTTGAAAGTAGAAGGAAAAAGTTGTATACCCAACATAAATAAATATGTAAATGAAGGTAAAAATACATTTTTACAAGAGATAAATAAAATAAATAGTTATTCCAATTGTGCTGTTCAATATTTCTTACGAAATACCAGATTTACAGTCTTGAATATTACAATTATGAATAAATTTATATAAATGTTAACATCAAATGAAAATTGGTTAATAAGTTATTTTCATCAAAGTTTTTTGTTTGTCAAATTTCCTCATATAAATAATATTACAAGAGTCGAAAAGTAAATGACCCGATCCGTAGTTGCATTAATTAACAGTCCTGCGGCCGAAATTGTGATTCCATGTGAAGATAGTGTATCAGTTCGATGTCGTATGTTTTTTTCGACTCGAGACTTAAAAATGATTCTAAGGACAGAATTTCTCGGAAACATTCTTGTACAGGTATCGATGCATTCATTGACATTGTCAAATAAAAAGGTCCCCGGTCAAGTAAAAAAGCTTGTGATATTTCAACCTGCTCCTCTCATCGGTCGATGCCATTTTATAGATATCGTTTATCTTATTATCTTGTTATTCGTAAGCATCTGCGAGATCATCGGACGAATGTTGTGTTGTTAGTATTTTATGTGCCAAACACAAAAATCCGAGAAAATGTATTGATACATTGCTCATGGCGATTGCTTTTCATGATAAACCACCCACGGGCCACATTTCGACTTAAACACACATGTACTTTTATATACATGGGCCAATGTACATGTCTATATATACATGAATATATGCACTTACCTGCTTTTTTACTCTTTTATTATAATTATTTTTCTTATTAATTTTATTTTCCTCCTTTATTATATTTATTATACATTTTTTTTACATTATCAATGTTAGTTACATTTTTTTTGCTAATCAAATATCTAATGCTGGAAATAAACAAATTAATACATATTTGTTTATATACTTCGTATATAAGAAGATATTTTACGAAATAATAGCTTTATTTAACCAAGCAAATACAAATTTTATGGGAACTTTTATTTGTGGTTTATAATCTTCATCTTGTATTTCGTAAGAAATATTCATCAGTAGAGATAAAATAACTATTTAATTTATCTCTTGCAAAATTGATATTTCCAACTTAATTCACTTTTTTATTTACTATTTCTTATTGCTTGCACCTTTGTCAATGTAAAGGTTTAGTTGATTCGTTTTACCCCACCCACTCCTAAGCTTTTAATGAGGTTATATAAAAAAAACTGTTGAATCTAACTTAAAAATAACAATACATCTTATTATCTCATCTCATTAAATAACTTATGCTTAAAAATTATATTCAGGTATCATAAACTTATATCATGAGTTCAAAACTAAAAGAAACGCCAACAACACAAAACTTTTGGTATGAATATTGCTATATTTTTATTTATCTCCTGATATTACTTTAAAATAGTATCAATAAAAAATCTACTTTGCTCGTTTTGCAGATAATTATGATGGACCTTTTTACCCGTGAACCTTTGAGCCCTATACGTACCACATATACTTCAAACCTTTAAGTACTTTTCAAACGCGTTTAATTTGTTTTATATTTTCTTGTCTAAAATTTATAATACCATTTCTACTTTATTTTTTAATTTTGGTTATTATATTAACCTATAGAAATTTTGCACTTTACCTGATTTTTTCAAATCTATTCACTATTCATTTCATAATGAAATTTCTGCTGCCAGGTAAGGTATTATTTTTGTATTCGTTTCATAGTTAAGATTTTGAGCGGATTTGCATATCCATATGACGGCTTTCGAATTTCAATGATAATATATGTGCTCCTATAGAAAAGCCCAAAAGAGCAATTCCTTTTTTGTGCTTCTACGCCGAGTTCAGAAATAAATAACACAAAGACGCTGTTGGATCGTTTAATGTTTTGGCAGGCATTGACCGTTGCACAGCGGGAGGTGCAAACTTTGAAAATTACAAAAAAGAACATCCAGAATATAATACTATATACGACTTATGGAAAAAACGTATAGGGTATTGCAGAGCGCATTCGAAACGCGGAGCGTGGTACCCTCCGGTACCACGCCGAGCGCTGCCTAGTGCGAGGGCCACGGGGACGATCGATCTGATCTGGTTCCGCACCATAATAAAGGACTCAATATATTTTTCTATTTTTTCTTTCCGAATATTTGTGCCCTTTGTTGTTATCCAACTGTCTAAGTTCAAGTTAATTTTGATGTCGTTTTTTTTAATATTTGCCTATTCCATATCAGCAAATTTTTGATAGTATTTCTACGAGAAAGCTTTGCAAGCTGTGTATACAGTGCGCTGCTAAAATGTAAACTTCAATTAATTTTTATAATTGAACCGCTCTTCTTAGGCCTTTAATATTTTACCTGGGTCAGTTTAAGCATAAAATCAACCATTGTGCCAAGTTTCATAAAAATCTGAGACGAACCCACGCGGGTTCTTCCTATTAGAATATCTAAATCGAATGCTGGAATATGTGTAAAAAATTGGAATACGAAAAAATGTTAAAAATTCAATACAAACTTTGACTTTGCCTCTAACTGAATAAATATCTATTCTTCAATAAATCATTAAGTTGTTGAAGAATTGAATTAATAATACAATATAATAAACAATCCGAATATATAGAGTCCGAGAATATATAAAAAGTAGAGAATACATAGAGACCCAATGAGATGTGTCTTGTAAGCATTTTATACTGTGTTTTCTTCAAAAATTATTTTAAAAGAGCTTACTGACAGTTACA